CTCACCATGTGGATTATTATGAAATAGTTCTCTCGTATCTCATAAAATCCGTCAGTCTCGTACACAGCAGAAGGGACAAGACCAATTTCGTCACAAGAATCTAGGACAAGGCTAATACACAACGTAGATCGTAGCGGTTGACTACACAAAGTCCCCCGTTGAACAACTGTTGTTTTCAACCGCGGTTTAAACTCTTTTATTTTGTAGCAGCATGCACTGAGGATTAAAACTTGAGCCGTCTTGAAAGTTAGTGATGAAAAATTTTTAAATTCCTTATCGACCAATTCAAATAACCACGAAGGGTCATTTTCAAAGGCAATGCATAAATGTTCGTCCTACTTCTGTATGACTGTTCCGATTCGGGAACAATCGAGACTATTGAACTACCGGTGAATTTACGATTTTAATTCAGTNCATGCCAGTTCGATTTCCTGGACTGAACCAGCATGCTCTTTATTGTAACATAACCTGTTAGTGGTTAGTCTTCTCAATTTGCGTGATGGCGAAAAAATCCGGTTAGTTTTAACAAGTATGGTACAAATTTCACTCGTCATACCGTCAGTACTCATGCCCGATATTGATTTGATGTTTTACTACTTCAGCTCAGCGTCAGTTGCAACCACTCTGGCTTACTAACCTTACCACTAGTTCTCGCAGTCAATCTGCTTGTCTGTATGTGGTCTGTCTCTCTGCTCCCAGCTGAAAGTCTAATCCTGGTTTATGGTGCTCAATCGACTTGTGACTGCATTCACGTGACTCGTCTATAAATGCAATTGAATTTTCCTGATTACGACTAATAGATGTCTGAAGCCCTAAATTCCTTTAGGCGAATGTGAATGCATAGAATAATGGAATCAGTTGTCCACAATACAAACCAAATCGACGAATGAAGTCTGAGCATTGCAATATTGAGGAACCTCAAATTGCGGAGCGTTATTCACTCTTTGTATACGAATAAAAATTATAAATAATAATAAACGTTTTACTTCCTTTTTTATCTATTGAGTATACAAATGTACAATCAATTTTTGGGAATGGGGCGGCGATCATGCAAAGGCCACTTTGTGAATTACGGAATTGGGAAAGATAGGCGGCGCTGATAGGATTCGATCTCGGCCTCAATGTTAAGTGAAATAAGTTCCGGATCTGACCCATTACGAAATACGAACACGCATTCAAAAGCAAACACTTTCTATCGATGATTTACGCACTGCATTCTTCATAGAATTTTAGAAATAGCCTTTTCAATGGTAGTAATCCTCTTGTTCAAAGGTCACAATGTTTGCGAATTCGAAAAAGAAGACAGGAAGGGAGGTTTGATGTTTCATATCACTATAAATCGCAATACCCGCTCGATCAAGTTGTAATGCGCAATGCATTTAAATGGTTTGCCGCTACGGTAGTTGAATGATGGCAGTGAACCGATTTTGCGCATTCATGACGTTTACAGACAGTTGACCCCGTCCAAACTATTAATATGTGAAGAGTGAGGACTAGAGAGACTATTACAGTAATTTCACTACCGAAGAAGCTATACGCAACCGAGAGTTTCTCTCAATCGGGGCCACCTAGTTGAGTTTTGTGCAATTAAGCGATTGGTCGCAGGTGATCATCTGATCATCATCTTTGATGTCTGAGGATGTCGTCGGTTTTGGGTTCGGCTCTTTCTGTAACGGGAACCAAAAATGTCCACAGGAAGCATTGTGACCTGTGTGCAACTGATCTATCACCAGATAAGGCCTTCACTATTCTCGTATTGCCTTAGGGATAGCAAGGGTTAGAGGGGTATCCACGAAGACGAGGGTCGAGTGGTCCTCGGGATACTAGTTTGTCTTCCCCAGAATCTTCCTGTTCTCCTCCAGGTTTCAGACATATGTTCACATAAGACCAAGTCACCTAGAAAGAAACGAACAAGAGTTAACTTCATCATTGTGTTATTTTACCTGTATGTTTTCGAAACAATAAAATTAAGTAATTTCATTGGATAAATGATAACTGACAAACATAATTGGTATTATTACGAACGATAAGATGTTAAAAAAGAGAAAGCGAGATATTTTAAAATGTTATTGTAGATTGAACCCTTTCTGTATTTAGTGATTATTCAATGATCTATCAATTCGAATTTTGTTTCACTTCCAGAATACAAGCTGCTATCCGAACAAATTCCTCGACATGTCCTCGCTCATGGTCTCAGACCAGAACTCTGTCAGTGACGGTCTCTGTTCCGAACCTCTCGGCAATGATACCGGTTACGACGAATGGTTTGATCAAGTGGGACACGCCTTATTAACAACCAATCCTGATCCGAATTCCATTGTTGGCTCATCGTTGGATTATTTGTCTAATCCCAAGGGACTGACCATTCATCCAGCTTCGGAACACACTCCGCATCGAACGTATCCCCGAATGTCCGACTCAAGTACATGCGGCAGTTCGTGTTCAACAGAATCGATGAACCACAGCGGTGGTAAAAGTTTCCATGACTTAGACACAGCATCGTCGTCTTCCTCAGAACGCGATCGACCTGAACCGCTATTTCCGGAACAGCAGCAGCAGCAACAACAACAACACCCACAATCGCAACAGAACTTGTCAGCGGTTTTAACTACTACAGCTGCAGTAGTTAGCACTTCCACTGTAACCCTAGTATCAACACCACCCCCACCCACTCAACAACGTCAACTTCAACCGGTAACATATCAACCCGCCCCACCACATCAAATGAACCAGCATCAGCAGCAGCAGCAACAACAACTTCAGCAACAACCCATAAGTATGTATAGTATCAATTCAGATGAATGGACCACATCCATCCCGGACAGTTCAGCTTACGCCACGAATTATGGAACGTCCGTCGCTTTTGATTCTTTTGGTTCAACAAGTCGCAGAGCAGATATGGTGCCAACGCAAACTCCAGTTTATGCTCCGTCTGCAACAGTCACCACGGATATGCCCCAGATGTACACGGATTACATGTATGATGCACAAAATTGTTTTTCTAATTCTGTTTCAATCAGACAAGATATCCCAACCGCGAACACCACCAATTGNCCAATTGTGAACTACAACCTTATCCGCCACGAAGTGAACCATGTACTCAGCTTTTGAATGGGAACGCCAGTATTTTGGTCGTGCCAAATCGACCAGTTACATCTGATATGCCGCTTATTGTGAATGGGGTTGGAACCACTAAGGCTGTGCCTACTGGAATGAACTGTAATGCAATTCCTGTGACCTGTTCGACCAGACCCGTTCAAACGATCACGTGTGCAACTCTTTCCTTACCATCTTTGTCATCATCGAATCAACTTCGTCATCTGGACGGTGCAACTAATGGAGTGCTCGAGCATAAAGCTACGTTCCCGAGATCTGTTCAGCGTACAATTCCCTTGAATGGATTGGGACAGATTGGCTCCCAAATAATTTACGTTCCTTCAACTACAACCACCACTACAACCAGTACCGGTCCGTTGACTTCACGTATGGTTGTAAAACCAAACAAAATTGAGATCGGTTTTCAGTCAAACGAGGAACCGTCTAACATGCACGAGTTGCCCACAATCTCCATTCGAGCGGGTAAAGTGGGTCGAGCGGCAAAAACCGGGACAGCAGCAGCAACAACA